GGTAAGACGGGAAAGAATGGGCTAATTCTAAGGTACGGATAACAGGAAAGCTCTCCAACGGGGCAACTAACAACCCCGTGGGAGGTGGGGGTTCCCGTGGTCGCTAATGGCATTCAACAATTCCAAACGAGGTTGAAGCAGAAATGCAAAAAAGAGCATAAAACTCAATCAGTTTGAAGACAATACACTAGCATAAATATCCATTTCAATCAATTAAATGTTTTGGGAGACGAAAGACCAGCGCTTCGGCAAAAATGTATTTGAATACTCATATTTCGCATATTACGTATACGCGACATCGGCAAGGCGAATAAATATTCCGATTAAATATTCATTTGCTGACGCAGCAGCGCGTCACTTAATACAGCGATTCGATTCTCGAACGTCGGGGGTCGACGTTTCGATGTTATTTCTTATTATTGCTTTTGCCGTTCTGATTATTGCTGTTTGCCTACGTCAAAAACAGTTTGTGACTGTGTGTATCTGTGTTTGCGACTCCCCCGGCAGCAGCTACCGGTTTTTCAAAAGCAATCTCTTGAATTCCCACAGCGGCAGCGCAAAAAAGGAAAAACAAAAACCAAAACAGACATCGCATAAACAGGGAGCTCTCGACGCAAAGTGCTGGGTTAGATTTGTTTGCATCACATGAGTTTCGCACTCGGAAAAAGGACCGGGTATATTAGTTTTTCCATCCCAGCAAATTACAAACTCACCACATAGTCGCAGGTAATTGAAATTCAGATCGCCACAACAGATAGGAAAGTCCTTTGTCATCGAGGTAAACAAATAACTATCGAAGTAGGGTCTTTCGTCTTTGTTAGAAGGGCTTACACTTTTCAAAAGTCCAGCCTTTTCTGTCTGGTAATTGAATTAATTTGCCAGGATAATTGGTTTCAAAGAGCATTAAGCTTCCTTTCACTAACAGTTTTATTAAGTAACTATAACTGAAACTGTATTCACCAAACTTTTTAAGGTAGATTAACATGGTAGCAGACAGTCGATGTTCCAGTCTCGCCGTCACTTCCTCTGCATAACAATTGGCAGTTTACATACACGCGTTAAAGTGTTAATGAATATTGTTTTTGCCCGTCAGCGAAAATGTGAAGTGCTCGGATATCTGGCGTTAGTTTCAGGGAGTTAATGCACACCCCGTGTACATTGTGGCAGCTCTTTACTCATGGCACTTTACATATACAATTAGAGCGAATGTGGTGCGTGGCAACAATCAATGTGTCTTCAATTTGCCGAACAACAATCGTTTTGATTGCAATTACCAGGGAGCGGAGGGTTTCGCACAGATACAGCTTCGCCGTGATTAGTTGGCTCGTGGGCATGTGGGTGGTACGTGCTGCAACTGCAGATGGAGCCGAGAGCAAAGGGCGCAAAAGTTGGAGCCCACAGACCACTGTGGCTGGCAGCCCGAGCACTCTTGTCGCCACCAGGACGTCCTTCATCCCGCATTCAGGCCAGAGACGTGGGGCTTGATGAGTGGCCGAACTGGAAAGTGGCCTTCCACTGCCTTTTCAGCCGACCGAGGTTTGCGTGCGATAATCAACATCTAGATTCTCAACTGCTTAGCATACATACAACATAACTAGGGCTTGTTGGAGCCGCCCGATAAAGAGAACAGCCCCTGGGGGCCACTTCAAATGAATTCGCGTGTTCCCCGTTGTGTTTCGATGCCCACGCGGCGGCCACTCACTTGTTTGCTTGGCCAGGCGGTCAATGAACTGCTTTTCCAGTGGGCAGCTGCAACTGCACCTGTCGCTCCCAAACACTGCAAGCAAACACTGGCGGAAACACCCAGAGAAGGACTAACGGATTCAAATTAGCAAGGTAGTCTCGGCGGTCTAACTATACATGAGGGCAACCACTCCTGGGTATTCTACTGAAATCATTTTAGTATGTAATCAAGCAGACGAAAAGGATTTGCTACATGGACTAGAAAAGTCTTAATGAAAGCTATACGAAGTTCAAATATTATATATGAGAAAAACCCAGAGTCACTTTCTAAAAAATGGTGTGATCTCTCTTTTAAAAATACGTTCTGAAGTGCAAAACAATCTTTAATCAACTACTTGATTATGTCAGATGTTAGATCGTGATTTTTCCCCACTGCCCCACCACTGTATAAATGGATTCGAGACATCAAAAGTCACCGCCAAACAAGTTGCGGCTGCTGTTTCTTGGCTCGGCGATAAGCTTCTGACTCTCCACTTTAATTGTTCACTTTTAGTTGGGGGATTCTAATTCGCTATCGCACCATAAATTCCACTCTTTATGGCACTTCGTCCAGCTGATAACTGGAGTGCAGCGGCAAACTTTGAGCTGGGACCAAATTAAATTTCTCACTTCATTCCCGACTTGAAGAGGACTCTGAATTTCAACGTCTGCCTCTTAGTATAATCAGCATTATGACCAGGCATTAGGGTGAAATTTATGCGGCGATGGCGACGCTTTTCCCAGCCCCCTCTACCGCAAGCCATTTTAATGCGACGTCATTTTAATGCCACGAAGAATAGCCGGGGGAAAATGGGAAATACTAGTAAAAGCGAAGACGAAGGAGGCGAAGTAGCAGACCAGCTCAGAATGCAAACATAATTTTCCCTAATGCCAACACAAAAAGGAGAAGTTCGGCATTCGCAGTCATTAAGGAATGCGCATTCAATTAGCCGAAACAACTTCATAGAGCAGCTGTTGTTGTCCGAGGGGCGTGGCCTGCCAGCCATTGGATGAGCCAGCAATCACGGACTGCGCCCCACCAGCGCCCCACTTGCACCACCAAGAACGCAGCTCGTCGGCGATAAGCGAGCGCTCTGTGACGCACTGCTTCCGCTGAGTGACGTAGGTCGCTCTCGACCCCCGACCCCGACCCCGACCCCGATCCCGAAGCCTGATCCCCGTCCACCGCGATCCGAATCTATGTATGTAAATACCCGGTGCAGATAGCATCGACATCGGTCGACGGTCGCCAACGACGGGCGACAATCTGACAACTGGTGCGTCGGAATTGCTTTTGCAGACCAACTCCGACAGGCAGTGACTCCTACTTGCCTGCACACTCATTCGGGGTCATCCCAGATATCATAGCACCAAATTAAACATGGCATAGACACATGGCAATCCGGTAAAACAATTGCTAATCTCTGACAGCTGGCTGATGGACAGCAATCAGATGGTGATAGCCCCTTATTAAAGCCATGGCTTGGGAGGATGGCTGCGAATTTACCTTTCGCAGAGCCACTACTTCCATCAGCATTAATTAAGGCATGAAGGTGCAGTTACTGGGTCAAAATGTTCTGGTGTCCAACAATGTACAAAAAGCCTTTAAATCCCATCCCACCAATCTGACAGCAGTAAGTCCTTGTAAATAAGTGACTAAAAAAACGTATTCTCCCGACGCGAACAATCATCCCTGCTTTACATTTGCATTCGCTTTTTGCATACTTCAGCCGGCATTGAGAGGAGTATAAAATTCAGCATAGCTTGCTGGCCAGAAAATATGACGGGGAAGATGCAAACTTTTCCGGGGAACAAAGGAGAAAAAGCAGCTGAATAAGGCTGGAAAAAGTTTATGGCAATGGATTTTTCTCCCGTTGCCGGCGGCAGTTGGCTGCGCGACTTCATTTCAAACCACTCCCCTGCTTCTGGGAAGACAAATTCACTTTTTGACTCGTAAAATGTATTGCAAATGTGTATGCTCATCCCGCTCCACAAGCCATTTGCCTAGCTTCTTGCCCATCTTCATTCCGCTCTGCTCTAAAATATTACATTACTACAAATTGAAATTTTGCGCACGTTTCTGTCATTTAAATCTGTTGAGGCGGCCCGAAACCAAACGAACCAAAGTATCTGCCAGACATTTCTGAGCACGGGGGATACTTTTACTATCAGGCAGACGGCAATAAAATAAATAACATTTAAAATGAAATATTTGATTGGGCGCCTGCAGAAAGGATACGGGAAAGCTGGGGCATGCAACACGTTTGGGGAGTGCACGCCACTGAAGGTGACCTTTACTGCTGGTGTTGGCTTGCACAAACTTCACTCGCCGTCTAATGCATAACTTTGCATAAATTTCCCACAACCTAATCGCCAAAGTTGACTCTACTGTAAATAAACAGAACAATGGCGCCAAACAGCAAGGAAAACTCGGCGGTGGGCGGTGGGCGGTATTCGAAGTCTTCCAAGACGACACTGAACTTGATCGGCGGTCGGGCGTGGGCCCTCTGCAATTGAAGTGTGACCCGATAACGATAACGGAGGGAAGCGTATCTGCGGGTGCGTCCGATAGAGCACTTAAAGCCCCGGCACCACGGAGCATGAAAATGAATAAGTTGCTGGAGCGCAAACATTTAACGCTTCATTAACTTTAGATAAAGCCCAGGACCAGGCAAAAAAGCCAGCGAGGACAAAATCGGCTGAGACAACCCCACATCCCCCCTCTTCGAGGGGCAAATTCGAGCCCAACTTCAATCCCTACAATTAAACAGACCGCCCAACGCCCAACGGCAGGTGGGGCAGCAAAAATCGATGACAAGGTGACAACGCAGGGCACTTCAGCACGTGCCACCGAAAAACAAAATACCGGGAGGCTTTGTCGAGTTCGCTGGAAAGAAAGATACCGGCTAAAGCAGATGGGTGGAATACACTCAAATTCCATTAGGCCGTAATTTGGGAAAGTTTATCGAACTAACAAGTCGAAGAGACGCTTTAAGACATCAACACCCAACAGTTTATTTCTCTTTGCTAAGTGTCATTGCTTCTTAGACGGGGAACCACCCAAAGCAGCACAATAAAAATTCGTTGAAATCTGTAGGCGGCCACTTTATATTAACGTTTTAAAGTTTGGGATTTTTGTTTGATAAAGCTCAAAAAACACTTTGGGTGCCACCCCATCTGCCTAAGTAAATGCGGACTTATTTCTTGTGCACATACTAAAACAAATTCGACTCTCAAATATTTAAATATTCACTTCCTCGGAAAATAAAGCCACTTACCTTCTCTCGCTTTCAAGTAGACCGTATTGGCCACAATATTCTCTAATTCCATTAGTTCCAGGTTGGCGGTTTTTTAATGAATCCTTTGGCGCTCTCGAAAAAATAGTCGCAGTCACACTGGCTGGTCCTTGCTTTGATGTTGCTTCTGCTCTTGACCTCAGACTGCTCCTTTGAACAGGGATCCTCTCTTTCCTTTCACCGAGCGACTTCTTAGACTTGCAAATCTAAGGCTGACTGGCTAATTTGCGGCCGTCGTCTGGCGTCCAGCGTTGCGGTATTTGGCAGCAGGGTTTCTGTTTCAGACACAGGCGTCATTTAGTTTCAAGATTGGAATTTGCAAGGCGAAAATGTGCCCTTTTCGAGTTGAACCACTTTGCGCTTGATTGAATGATGTGGGACTGCGGGCGAACGGGCTTCCTCAATCTGCAAGGAAATGTAAGCGATAGAGGCGTATAAATAGCTTAGTTAATCGGCTTTGACAAGGGGTTGCAGGGATAAGAAGTCCTTTCGACTTTCATGCGGGTTCAATTGGGTCATATAAGCATTTCCCCAGTGAACTATTGTTCCTGTGCATTTAGAATTCCTTCTGAGCAAAACATTAGTATCAACGAAAACTTGCTAGCGGGACAGCATAGCAATAAATTATAGGAATACTTCTTAATCATCCATATAGAAAGCAAAGTATGAGGCTTTTACTTGAAACAGCTTCCAGCTGACTTAATTATATTTCCCATAATGCCAGGCGAAAACCACAATACCCTTTTGGCTGCTCTTGACTTTAAGTATACGCCTGTGCATGTATATCATCTATTCTTGACGCTTTGCGGCTTATGTTCGGCTCTCGAGAGAAGTTAGTACACGTTGTGTCTACGTGTACTTGTTGTGTTGCCTGTTTCTGACAAAAGAGCTGCGTGCGATGTTGTTAAGTTTGCATATTTACACTTGAAAGAATTAAGTGTTTGCTCTTATCCCGAATTGCCTTGTGATATTTCAGCGATTCCATAGTTGCATTACTGGGTTTAAAAATAAGTTGGGACTCCATGAATGCAAGTATGATACGAATTAATCTGTCTTTGGTTCTTCCTGTGTATTTCTAGGCGTGAGTGAATTCCACCTTGTGGTTGTGGCCCAGTGAAACAGGGCCTTTGGAGAGGGTTGTGAGCAGGAAAGCCACAGCATACTAAGCCCACCTTGATGGCTGTTGGCCTTCTGGAGGTGTCAGTAATGTTGCGGTCGACAGTGTGTCGCATTTATTAATCATGGACCCGCTGACAAAAGGCGTTCATAGGTATTTACAGCCGATGCTGGATGCTGGGGGCCTGTTGCCGGAGCGGGTGAGCGGCAACTACGTGTGGGCATGCCTGGAGAAGTCTAGTGTCACGAGCAACTAATAGCAAAATAATTGAATGACACACAGCTTTCTTCTGCTGCGTGAAGGCATCTCCATGTTTGCCGGCCCCATGAGCTGTTCGGCAACCAGATGATTTTAAAACTACTTTCGTTTGAAATGCTTTCCATGACTGCGTCGCTATTTGCACTTATCAACTCTTATGTGCGTCACAAACTGGTCGGGGTTTCTTTTTTCGTAGGAACCGCCTTTATTGGATCACGCATACGAATTTTAATTAAAAATGAACTCATGGTGCTACATTTAGATCTATTTGTTATGGAAAAGCCATCCAAACCGCACCATGTGCCGAGGCACATCAATCACTGCATGAAAGTGTGGCCATGCGAGTGTTTATTTTCCAAAACAAAGCAGCCACTTTTTCAGCCGGGGTCCAAATTAATTGTTTCTGAAATGCGTAGCCAAACAAATGGGAGGAGGACCAATCAAGCTAAATATATATTTGGGGCCCTCCAATAAACATGGCTTTTACGGGCGCCATGTATTATTCAGGCCGAATGGGCATGAATATGGCCGTTTCATTTACACTCCAAGCGAGGTGCGGAGCCGTAAAGTGCGTTCTAGTGGCCACTAAAAGAGCGACACACCAGCGGCATCGGAATGGGCCCAGATTGCAGAGCCTTGACGGCCCCTGCTCCCTCCACGTCCTGGCGCCTCCTGCCTAGTTCAGCGACTGCCGGCGGGGAGAATCCGGGGAGGGAGCAGGAGCTGCGCACGTTAAAAGCCTCTTTATTGAACATTTGCGCCATTAGGCCCGGTGGCTGATGCTCTGGATGCTGATGTTGCTGCCGTCACAACGACGCTCGCATAAAAAACTCAACCGCCAAACGATGTTGTCAGTCATCCACTCACATCCACATCCACATCCTCATCTACACACGTGTGTGCCTGCAGCCAGCGACGCCATTATGAAAATGTTGCGAAATGGCGCAAATGTGCATGGGGCTCATAACGAAATTAAGCGGCAGCATTACGGCCACTTTTTCAACACTTCCTGGAGAAGTGGCAACAAAGCTAATGTCGTTTTCTTTGTCGCTTCACTCTGATTTTGCTCAAAGAAAAAAATGATTTGAGACCCCTATCAATCATTTTGTGCGATGACAGGGTTTCGAAACATCTTTAGCAGTCGATCCTAAAGATAGCCCAAGAATAAGGATTAGGATAGTTCAATCTACAGATCCAGTTTCCATGGATAATCCCCCCTGTTTACCTCCAATTAGGGTTCCTTTGAGTATATACGTTTTCACATTTCCCGAAGACACTTTTGTTGTGGCCTCCATACCATTTACTTGTAGGCAACCTGCGCACCTTTGTCACCTTGTCGCAGGCAAATTGCTTCTATATGCCCCACTTTGTTCAGCATCTTACCATCTGAGATTTGGGCAGAGAGCAGGATGAGTCGACCAGAATCAGGGGGAGTATCGAGGACAGACTGACGGCGACCTTAGTTTAGGAGCGCATTAACTAAATTATGGAGGAGAGCAGCTGCCATCGTTTGGGCGGCGTAAGCAGCCTCAAGCATTCAAGCTATTGACTTATTAATTAAGACAAAGCAGTCAGCCCGAACAGCCAGCCCAAAGATTATGGAATGGGGAGGATGAGCTGCGGAATGGCTCTGCCCAGAAACAAGGCATATCATCCCTTATCACATTTATGACAGTCATGGCCATAACCAGAGCCTCGGAATACGTCAATTTAAATGCCAAACGCGAAGCTCCAGGACTTTCGAGGCACTGGAAAAAACTCTCTTAGGATCGGAAAGCAGTTTAAAAACTCGAGACTTGTTTTTAATCTAAAGAAATCATTAACATTACCAACTTCGCGATTATTGAAATGGGCTTACATTTCAAAAAGGGCGATAACCACTATTTTCTCTCAGTGAGATGGCTTTGCTGGCAATCCACCACGGCCCATGCATATCCAAGTAGGCAGGGCAGAAATAGCGACACGAAGGAGCATTTGGGACTGACGGAGGACAACCTCAATCATGGGAATGCCCAAAACGGATATCCTCAGCGCGTTTTGCCCGACTCCGTGAGTTATGGAGTCGCCTGCATCCTGTTTCTGTCTGCATTTCGCTGCTGATGCTAGCAAAAAGCGGAGAAAACGCCAGCCGGAAAAAAACAGAGTCGAGTAGAGCGAGTCATATTGCCCACTTGGCTTTCGTTTTTATTTGCTGCCTTCCGCTTTTTTCCATCTACTTTTTGGTCCCCACATATTTTTGCGCTTAAGCTTGGTTATGCTTGTTCCACCCCCTTCAGCTGCCCCCCTCGGCCTCCCCGCACTCCTTGAAGCCGTGTTAATTTTGCTCTGAATGCGCAATTTATTTGCGTTAAACTTGGACGTGCATGTGGGCGGTCTCTTCTATCCTACGTGGGCTCTGAACCCCACTCCTCCCCCTAATTTCTACGTTGGCTCCGGCTGGGTGCGGCTTCCCCGGTTTGGCTGGCTGGCCGGGCAAGGATCAACTTTTCGCCAGGCGCCCTGTGGCACTGCATGTCCTTCGCCTCTGTGTAGTCGCACATACGTGCGCAGGACTCCCTCAAAATGTTTTCACTTTAATTTGCAGTCGCTGCAAAATTTTAATCAGCTCCTCCCCCTGCTGACTTTATACGCTTTGTCCGCCCTCTCTTCCGTTTGCCTACTTTCCGCTTTTCCTTGCATTATGAGTCGGTAATTAGAAATGCAAGGCGATTTAGAGAGCGGCACAAAAAGTTCCCTGTTTGGCTTTGGACAATTGCTTGAAAGGAAAGCGGAATGAAAGGATTTCTGCTTTGATCCATTCATAACTTTACTAACTATATAATTAAATGCAACTAGGTTTACTAGTCTAGTTAAGTTTTACAAACTTTAACATGAGTGTGCAGACGTTTTTTTTATGTGTATGTTTACTTTTCCGCCGACTGTAAGAATGCTGCTGCATCTAATAAATAACGTTTTTAAGAGCCTTTCCCCAACTGATTTTTAAACTTGCTTAAAATATGGCCAGTGCTGAGTTTCTCACTTGACTTCGTCAACGTTATGGTTCCCTCTTCTGAAATTAGTTTCCCACCGCTTGACAGCAAACACACTGCGTGTTTGTGTATATTTAAATGCTCAGTCGACCGCAAAGACGTGTCAGTAGATGTTGTATAACATTGCAGTCGCATTAGCACAACAAGGCGGAATAATGAGGTGGGTCGCCAATGAAGACAGCCACAAGTATGCGGTTAGTTGGGCCAATACTCGATTGACTTATGATAATCGAAAATGGGCGAGAATCAGTGTAACAGCACCGGTATTACATTTTTTGCCGAGTCATGGGAAATCGAAGACGAGACAGTGATACTCCGTAGTACAGCACATAAAAAACCGCACTTCGGTTTAAATTTCAAAAAAACATATCTCGCTTAATGACTAGAGATATTTAAAAAGATTTCCTTTTAACTTAGAGTCTTTAAACTTTAATATTTTAAATCCTAAAATGGTTTTTCTTTGTATATTTTTCGTCTGCATGAGCTTGTCACCGACTTAAACCAGTTTTTCCCTGAAATATGTGTAGAGCCACTTTGTAGGATTCATGCTGGAGCAAGATAATCCCTGTCCAGTATGCTGGACTGGTGTCATTTTTCCTGCTGGCAATCAATAAAGCAGCGCGCCAACAACTATGCCAAAAATGACCCAGTTCGGTGGACTTGGAACTTGGACTTGCCACAGACTCTCGGCAAGGACATCGGTGCAGCTGCCAAGTAAACCATTTTTTCCTTCAGCCACCCCCTTTTAAATTTTCCTGGCATGACAGCTATGTATGTATGTGGCATGGGTTGGAAAACAAGCGAAAGACTGGTCGAGATTGGTCTTGATTGGTCTCGTTCTTGCCACTGCTCATTTTTCTTCCTCGTTTGAGAAGGGTTGAGTTAGACCCAGAGAAAAAAAATTATGATTCGACCAGCATTGCAAACGATTGAGTTGCACTCGCAAAACACGTATTCTCATGACCAAACCGCTTGGGAGATTGTGCTGCTATTGGAAACGC